CCATACGTTCCACAATAGCTGGGCAGCGCAGGGTGAGCTGAGGACAGAATCATAAACACTGAGATTTTGATGCCTATAGAGACCTCAGAGCTATAATGCTTTGGAGAGGCAGCTGCTCTTGCAAACTATGAGCCCTTATGTTTTTGCCAAAACCAAATACATTTGTCATTTCCGCTCTCCTCGTGGCTGCTCATCAAGGTATTTAGGAATGAAAACTTTCACTTAGGCAGCAGCCAGCTGCCGCGCTCATTCATTCAGGGAAACCACAACCCCATGTTTATGATGTCAGAACTGATCACTGTACAAGTAATTGTTTGTAGTGTCACAAACACTGGCCCATAGCTCAGCTGAGTGAGTCAGACAAGAAGGAAGGAACGCATCAAAAGTTCTCTTTACAAGACAAATATCGTGTTAATCATCACTTCTGATGTGACTGGATCTGTTTAAGGAAGTTTAACAAGCCTTTTACCAGCAAGTAGTGTGTGAGGTTTCTGAAGAACAGTGCCACAGAGCTGAAGTTAAATTGTATCTGTTCAAATATGACTGAAAAGAAAGCAGATAATACGGCCTTCATTAGCACAGTTTCAAGACCTTAAAAGATAGCACAATGCAGCCTTTTGATCTAATTCCAGCTAACTGTTAGCATTGAGGCTTGGTCTGAACATGGTGCAGCTGACAATATGGATATAATTAGTGTAGAATGCTGGCATATAAATGTGCTACATACCTGCAGTCGCTTTTTATCACTGATAGAGTGATAAGTACCTTGGTTACAAGATTCCCCACAACACCGGCATCGATGCTTAAACAACAACAACAGCAAAACTTTATTTATATACCGCTCTATCTCCCTGAGAGGACTCAGCGTTGTTTCTAAGTAACATCATCAATACATACAAAGAAAACAGCATAAACATAAAATTAACAAGACAATGTAAGCATAAAAAATCAAAATCTATATAAATAAAAATGTAATGTTTGTTTGTGCGATTAACATAACTCAAAAACCACTGGACAAATTGACACCAAAGTTGGACACAATACACCTATTAGGCCAACGAATGACCATCACTCATAAAAACACTGAAAAACACAATAAAAGAGACTTAAAAAGCCAAAAAATAAAAAAATACATTACAACGCATGCACAAAACCACTTATATACACAAATATATATATACATATATACACGCACACATAAGACATATACACAGACTGGGCCACAGCAACAAATGGCAAGGGATGGCTAGTAGCACATATATATTTAAAATAATCCTGCCTGTTCAAGGCAATTTAAAAGGCCGGGCCAGGGCTAGTGCAATTTGTAGAGGGCCCGGGAAATTAGGTAGAGTCTATGACTGTTCATTTTCAGGCCTAACAGGAGGAGGTAACCTGGTTAATTGGTAGAAAAAAATAAGGCCATAATCAACAATATCTGGGGCTGAGCTAGAACTAGTAGCTCTCAAAGGCTTGTTTAAACCACCAGGTCTTCAGGGGAGGGATGGGGCCTGTCATTTCTCTAGGAAGGGTGTTCCAGAGGGGGGGGGCACCACCGAGAAGGCCCTCTCTCTCTTCCCCACCAACCGTGCTTGTGATGGTGGCGGGAGCAAAAGGAGGGCCTCCCCGGAAGATCTTAAAGTTCACACCGGTTCATAGAGGGAGATGTGATCGTGAAAATGGGCGGGGCCCGAACCGTTTAAAGATTTTGCCTTGTATTAAAATTAAGCAAAAAATGTTTTAAAATGCTCAGGCCTTCTGGTTGGCAGGAGAACTGTCTTTCAAGGCAGCATGGTTAGACTTGTAGCCTAATTGAATAAGAAATAGATCTTTTAAACTCAGGGTTTAAAACAAGAAGGGAATTGGACTGTCTGTTTAAAAACAAAAAGCAGATTTGGATAGGGTTTAGTTCCACCGTGGTTTATTCAATCTAAAGCCATTTTCTCAATAAAAATGTTTCAACCAGATGTTTTAAAATACAGTTTCATAAGGCATCTGAAACTGGCAATAAGATCGCTTCACATTCTGGCCTCCTGCAATAAAGAATAAGTTTAAATCGTAAGAAAAACTGCATATCTTTCTAGTTTGCTCCTTTCTCATTTTTGGTTCCTAACCATCTGCAAAATTGTGGTTGTGGTTTAAAACATAAATGGATTTGGCTTCACATGTTGTCAGGGTGTGTAGGTCGCAGTACTGCAGTTGTGGCAAACATTCACAATGCAATGTGTGATTATAACTTGCGTCTAGCCCTCATGATTGCAGGAATATAGATCACCCCTATTACAAAGTATGAAAGTCAGAAGTATTGAGGAGGGAATAACTTGTTTACCTGGTAGTTCCTCTCCAGGACTAATCAAAATAGAAAAAAAATAGAGAATAAAAGAAAATTTGCAATTTTTTAGTAATACAGGTTGCATAATCCAATTATAAAGCTAGTCTGTGCTGTGGAATAAAGGTGCTCTTGTGGTCTGAATAGGAATAGCAAGTTTTATCCTATAACACCATGTAACAAAATTTGAAAAAAAAATCTGTTCCTCGTTTGAAAGTGTTATTTCCTGTTTAATTGTGAAGTACTGACTTTGAAAATAGTTGTTATACTTCAGAAACTTCATTGTTCGGTTGAGACTCCGTGAGATATTAATTGAAAAACTATAGCAAAATGTGCTGCAGGATGTCTCGCAAAGTCTTTAGAACCAATTATTTTTATTTATTACAGTCCTTATATTCCGCCCTTCTCACCCTAACGGAGACTCAGGGCGGATCACAGAACACATATACGGCAAACATTCAATGCCGATTATACAATGACAAGAAAGACAACAGATAGATGTATATTTAGGCTTTTTTTTTCATCTTTTGGAGGCTGTGCTCGGTTCCGGCCACAGGGGGTGCTGTCACTTCATTTCCTTGACAAAGAGCTTTCTTTGTTTGTAAACTTTCCTCAGAAACGCCATGCCTAAAATACCTTCCTGCTTAATGTGGTTCCTATTCATCTACTCACATTGCTATTTTCAATCCGCTAGGTGGGCGGGGTAGCTGGGCTGAAGGTTAGGAGCTCACCCTAACCCGGCTTCGAACTGTCAACCTTTCAGTTGGCAAAATTTACTGCAGTGATTAACCTGATGTGCTAAAGCTGTTCCAATTAGGAAATGACATTTATAACCTTGGAACAAAAATCATATTACGTAGTGCAGTGGTTCTCAACCTGGGATCCCCAGATGTTTTTGGCCTACATCTCCCAGAAATCCCAGCCAGTTTACCAGCTGTTAGGATTTCTGGAAGTTGGAGGCTGAAAACAACTGGGGACCCCAGGTTGAGAACCGCTGACATAGTGTAATAGATATCAATTGGTTTTTCACTCTCCCAGTGTTTGTGTTATCAACAGTGCTTTAGAAATGGTTCCTTGACTATTGTATTCACACTTGCATTTTAACACAGTTATCAGTTGAGATTCCTGGCTTTGCATTTCCTCCTGGGCTTTTTGCTATTTTTATTTCCTTTTTACCCATGCAAATTCATAATAAGTTTGCCAGTGAAGTCTTAGCACCCTAGTTATCTGATATAAGTAGACTTGTTCACAAAACCTTGTGCCATAGTAAATGTCTTAATGTTTACGTTTCTTTAAAAAAAAACTACAAAAAGATAAACATTACTTTCTGGAGAAATTAATCCCATCTTAATGTATACGTCCCCCTGTTTACTGCTGTCAAACGATAAAGGGCCTCCTTAAGCCCTGGCTCCATCCTTGGTCACCTGTGGGTGGTCTGCTGTACCTGCACAGTGTTCTTTTGGCATCGGCAGAATTCTTTTTCTGGCACAGACCAAGGTACTTTCTCCTTTATATTTAGTTCAGAGAAGTTAATTCTGACTTGCAGCTGCAGAACAACACAGGAGTGAGATCATAGCTTTAGCCACAGAGTCCGTGGCTTTGAGTGATTATGTTTTCTTACATTTCTCGCAGCAAGTGGGCGTTGTCAAAAGCTGCTTGTTCCTTCTCTTGAGGAAAGCCATCCCACATTTGGACAGCGATTGCCCATGGCATGGTGGGCTAAGTGCTTCCCTGCCGAAAAGGAGGACGGGACAGCCTGTGCATCCGAGGCCAGGGTGCCAGGCTACCCCAAAATATTCTAATCCCATGTATGGTTTTACATTTTGCATCCAGAAAGAAGAGAATAGAAGACAATTATTTGTTAGAACTGGGTTATTAAAAAGCACGTTTATTTCAAAATTATGATTCAAGTAAGAAGTGAAATATGGAGAACTGAAATCTCTTTTTTGCCTGTGTGTGAAATGAATGTCAGAAACACTACCCTCTCAATTGCATGTGATATGGAAACAACAAAGGGCCCCTATTTCCAGATTGCTTTATCTTTGAGATGTGAAAGATAAAGAGAGAGAGAGAGAACAAGCTCGCTGTGGGTCAAAGAGAGTCCAAACGGCTCTGTGGCATATTGGATTTTTTGCTGTAATGCCAGCCAGCTTTTAGGTGGGTTTTTTTTAAAGTGTAAGAATATGACAAAAGGAACTTGCAGGCAACAGCTGGCACACAAAATTATTGAGTATGTGTCGCATTGTACCTTCACAGCCTCCAGTGAAGCTTATGGATTTTTTCACTCTTCTTTTTTCCCTTCTCACTGAGATGAAGTCATCCTGATAAACTCTGTCTCTCTCTCTCCTTTCTCCCCCCTCCATTTTTTTAATCCACAGAGGCCTTTATGTTTTTCTAATAATTGGCAGCAGAGGTACGATCCTCCTCCCTGGCCCCCCTCCCGCTCTTTCAAGTGATGAATAGTTGGCCCTTGATCAAAGGCAAGCCCTAGCGGTTTTTTGGCTGCCACAAAAGGGCGTTGGAATTGGCAAGGCTCCCAGCTGCTTAGTGATAGGCATGTAGACGAGGTGCCAGGCAAAAAGGGTCAGTGGCAAAATGTCTGTACACGTTCATCTGAGATAATCTCGTTTCCTTTCTCTGTGTTTGTGTGTGTGTGTGTGTGTGCATCTTTTAGGCCAGCAGCAGGTTGAAGCAGATTGAAAAGGAATACACTCAGAAGTTTGCCAGATCTTCACAGGTAGGAAACATGAAAAACAACTCTGAAATGAAACAAAAATATTTATTTAGGATGTTTGCTTTTTGTCTTTCAGCTGAAAATGAGCACAGAAATAAACCACATTTGCTTCTGTTACTATTTAATTCCAAAGCCCCTCCCCTTCCATGAACAAACGAATATGCCCTCCTGCAGACAAATCAAGCTGCCATTTTGCTTATTGCCAGTTGGGAGCAGAGGATCTTCCCACCCACCATCAAATTCAGTGAATTCACTCATCTTTTTTTAACCATATAGGCCTAGTTATTATATAAGGCAAAAGCAGGTACCGTTTAGTGAGAGTCCTTATGACCTGAAAGGCGCTATAGCCTTACACATTGTCTCTGGCCCCTTCTGTTGTTGTTCATTCGTTCAGTCGTCTCCGACTCTTCGTGACCTCATGGACCAGCCTACGCCAGAGCTCCCTGTCGGCCGTTACCACCCCCAGCTCCCTCAAGGTCAGTCCAGTCACTTCAAGGATGCCATCCATCCATCTTGCCCTTGGTCGGCCCCTCTTGCTTTTGCCTTCCACTTTCCCCAGCATAATTGTCTTCTCTAGGCTTTCCTGTCTCCTCATGATGTGGCCAAAGTACTTCAACTTTGTCTCTAGTATCTTTCCCTCCAGTGAGCAGTCGGGCTTTATTTCCTGGAGGATGGACTGTTTGGATCTTCTCGCAGTCCAAGGCTCTCTCAGAACTTTCCTCCAACACCACAGCTCAAAAGCATCTATCTTCCTTCGCTCAGCCTTCCCTAAGGTCCAGCTCTCACATCCGTAGGTTACTACAGGGAATACCATGGCTTTGACTAGGCGGATCTTTGTTGCCAGTGTGATGTCTCTACTCTACTATTTTATCGAGATTGGACATTGCTCTCCTCCCAAGAAGTAAGCGTCTTCTGATTTCCTGGCTACAGTCTGCATCTGCAGTAATCTTTGCACCTAGAAATACAAAGTCTGTCATGGCCTCCACGGTTTCTCCCTCTATTTTCCAGTTGTCAATCATTCTTGTTGCCATAATCTTGGTTTTTTTGACGTTTAGCTGCAACCCGGCTTTTGCGCTTTCTTCTTTCACCTTGATTAGAAGGCTCCTCAGCTCCTCATCGCTTTCGGCCATCAGAGTGGTGTCATCTGCATATCTGAGGTTGTTAATGTTTCTTCCAGCAATTTTCACCCCAGCTTTGCATTCATCCAGCCCCGCACATCGCATGATGTGTTCTGCATACAAGTTAAAAAGGTTGGATGAGAGGATGCAGCCTTGCCGTACGCCTTTCCCAATCTTGAACCAGTCTGTTGTTCCGTGGTCAGTTCTGACTGTTGCTACTTGGTCCTTGTACAGATTCCTCAGGAGAGAGACAAGGTGGCTTGGGATGCCCATCCCACTAAGAACTTGCCACAATTTATTATGATCCACACAGTCAAAGGCTTTAGAATAGTCAATGAAGCAGAAGTAGATGTTTTCTGAAACTCCCTGCCTTTCTCCATTATCCAGCGGATATTGGCAATTTGGTCTCTCGTTCCTCTACCTTTTCTAAACCCAGCTTGAACATCTGGCAACTCTCGCTCCATGTATTGCTGGAGTCTTCCTTGCAGGATCTTGAGCATTACCTACTGGCATGAGAAATAAGGGCCACTGTACGGAAGTTTGAGCAGTCTTTCGCATTTCCCTTTTTTGGTATGGGGATATAAGTTGATTTTTTCCAGTCTGATGGCCATTCTTGTGTTTTCCATATTTGCAGGCAAATGGCATGCATCACCTTGACAGCATCATCTTTCAAGATTTTAAACAGTTCAGCTGGGATCCCGTCGTCTCCTGCTGCCTTGTTGTTAGCAATGCTTCTTAAGGCCCATTCAACCTCACTCCTCAGGATGTCTGGTTCTAATTCATTCACCACACCGTCAAAACTATCCTCGATATTATTATCCTTCCTATACAGATCTTCTGTATAGTCTCGCCACCTTCTCTTGATCTCTTCAGCTTCTGTTAGGTCCCTGCAATCTTTGTTTCTTATCACACCAATTTTTGCCTGAAATTTACCTCCAATGTTTCTAATTTTCTGGAAGAGGTCTCTTGTCCTTCCTATTCTGTTGTCTTCTTCCACTTCCATGCATTGCTTGTTTAAAAATAGTTCCTTATCTCTTCTGGCTAACCTCTGGAATTGCGCATTTAACTGGGCATATCTCCCCTTTTCACTGTTTCCTTTTGCTTTCCTCCTTTCTTGGGCTACTTCCAGTGTCTCAGCAGACAACCATTTTGCCTTCTTGGTTTTCTTTTTCTTTGGAACGTACTTTGTTGCCGCCTCCTGAACAATGTCGCGGACTTCTGTCCATAGTTCTTCTGGGACTCTGTTTACTAAATCTAGTCCTTCAAATCTGTTCTTCACTTCCACTGTATATTCGCTCGGAATGTTAGTGAGATCATATCTAACTGGTCTGTGTATTTTCCCTGATCTCTTTAGTTTTATTCTAAATTGGCAATAAGAAGTTCGTGATCTGAGCTACAGTCAGCCCCAGGTCTTGTTTTCACCGACTGGATGGATGTCCGCCACCTTTGGCTGCAAAGGATGTAGTCAATCTGATTTCGGTGTTGACCATCTGGTGAGGTCCAGGTATAAAGCCGTCTTTTAGGTTGTTGGAAGAGAGTATTCGTTATACACAGCGAGTTTTCCTGGCAAAATTCTATCAGCCTGCGTCCCGCTTCATTTTGTTCTCCCAGACCATGCTTGCCTGTGATCCCAGTTGTCATTTGACTTCCCACCTTGGCATTCCAGTCTCCTGTAATGAAAATAATGTCTCTTTTGGTGTATTATCCAGTAGTTCCTGCAGATCCTCATAGAACTGATCTACTTCTGCTTCTTCAGCAGCTGTGGTTGGGGCGTATATTTGGATCCCTGTAATGTTGAAAGGCTTTCCTTGCACTCGAATTGAGATCATTCTGTCATTTTTTGGGTTGTATCCAAGCACCGCTTTAGCGAATTTCTTATTAATTATGAAGGCTACTCCATTTCTTCGATGTTCCTCTTGTCCACAGTAGTAGATCTGGTGGTCATCTGATGTGAAGTGGCCCATTCCAGTCCATTTCAGTTCGCTGACCCCCAGAATGTCTATCTTTAGTCTTGACATCTCACCAATAACAACATCCAATTTGCCCTGGCTCATAGATCTTACATTCCAGGTTCCTATGGTGTGTTGCTCTTTAGAGCATCGGATTCGTCGTTCACCTCCAGTACCGTCGGCCGCTAGCCTTCCTTTCGGCTTTGAGCTAGCTGCGTCATCACATCTGGGGCTAGTTGAACTTATCCTCTGCTCCTCCACAGTAGCATTTTGGCCATCTTCCGACCTGGGAGTCCCATCTTCCAATGGCATACCGACATATATCTGGTTGTACTGGTCCATTTAGTTTTCTTGGCAAGGATACTGGAGTGGTATGCCATTGCCTTCCCCAGGGATCACGCTTGGTCTGACCTCTCTGCCACAACCGTCCCGTCTTGGGTGGCCCTTCACGGTTTCGCTCATGACATCATTGAGGTGCTCAAGCTCCAGCGCCCCGACAAGGCGGTGATCCTTTGCTGGAGCTGGCCCCTTCTACACTACCATATAATCCAGATTATTATAACTTTATCTGCTTTGAACTGGATTATATGATTCTACACTGCCATATAATCCAGTTCAAAGCAGATAATCTAGAAGGGACCTCCCTGAACTAATGGGACAGTTTTTATTTTTCAGGATAGCATCTTCCTTTTGCTCAGTAATAGAGCTAGACTTTTTCAGGTCCTTCAAGCAATCTGTTCCTACCTGGTGTAACTCAGTCCTTTCCAATCAAACTAACCCCACCAACAGTCACCAGAAAAATGGCTAACTGGTTACTCCTTTTTCCTTGACTCACGCTGCACCAGAATGGGGCATGTGCTGTTGTTTGGGATGGGACATAAAAGGACTCACTGACTACCTCTGGGTCTCTTTCCCTCTATTTCAGTGGTTCTCAACCTGTGGGTCCCCAGATGTTTTGGCCTTCAACTCCCAGAAATCCAAACAGCTGGTAAACTGGCTGGGATTTCTGGGAGTTGTAGGCCAAGACGCTTGGGGACCCACAGGTTGGGAACATCTGCTCTATTTAGAGTGCATCTACACTATAGAATTACTGCGGTTTTATACCACTTTAACTCGCCTAGCTGAATGCTATGGAATCATGGAAGATGTAGTTTTACAAGATCTTTTGTCTTCCCTGCCAAAGATTGCTGAAACTCGCGTGATTCCATAGCGTTGAGCCATGGCAGTAAAAGCAATGTCAAACTGCACTAATTCTACAGTGCGGCTGCATCCTTAGAGAGTAAAGCACAAATCCCTGTAATATAGGTTGAATCTGTTGTGCAGCAGCGGATTTTACCCAACGCCCAAAGTCCAAATGCAGTAGACTCACAGACAAGAGGAAAAATGAACAGAAAAAAACTTCACTCTTTACTCAACAGAGATGAAACATAAACTTGCAATGTTACATGCAAAAATAGAACAATGCAAGAAACTTACATAGTCCTTGTAAGTAACACAGAATAAGGCATCTTCATCTTACATCAAATGAGAGAGCAAAACATAAGCCATAAATAGCTATTCCATCAAAGCCTCCTTCAGAGTAGCTTCTCCATTCTGCTCTCCAGAGCAAAGCCTTTGACCATAGATCTCTTCAGAGAAAAAGCTCTCCTGAAGCTCTCCAGCACCCACATCCACACTGTATTCTTAAAAAAAACCAAACCCATACAGATATGCCCCATTGGGTGTGGTCCAAGCTTGCTGGTTGACTTACATTACCAGCTGTATATAATAATTAATATCATAAGATTTTTCTTCCAACACACACACACTTGGTCCTGCTATGACTTACTGCAACAGAATCTTCACTGCCGTATGGTTCAGTTCAAAGCAGATAATCTGGATTTTACATGTCAGTGTAGAAGGGGCCATAATTTAGTGGAAATGTCTGCTAGGGACAGGACATGAAAGAAGAAAAAGACCTCATCCTGATTTCTTCTTCTAACTCGGGGCAAGAAGGCTTTGGCACAGCAGCATTAAACATGACTAACAAAATACCATCTTGCAGTCTCAGCAAGTGCAAATTTATTTAATTCCATTTGTTTTGTGTATGCTTGTATGTCCACTGCATTTTCCATAGAAAATGAGTTATAAATATGGTGGCAACAGAGTTCAAGTGGCACAGGCAGGAGACACCAGATAAGGGAGCCCTTACAAGAGAAAACATGGTACTGTTCCACTCTTATACTCAATAGGGAAGATAACACTATGTAAAAAAATTTGAAAAAAAATCTGTTCCTGGTTTAAAAGTGTTATTTCCTTTTTAATTGTGTGGTACTTACTTTGCAAGTAGTTGTTCTAGTCTAGAAACTTGGTTTTTGTGGCTGCCACAAACGATGTTGAATTGGCTGCAACTTGATAAGATATTCCTTGAAAAACTATAGCAAAATGTGCTGCAGGATGTCCCACAAAAACAGTATTTGCAGTTTAATACACTTTCCCCATGTTTTTATGATAGATCCAATTACAAAATGACATTTATAACCCAGGACTGAAAATTATGTTATATAGTGTAATGTATCATTTGTCTGCACTCCATCACCAACTGCCTCATCCTTAATGGTAGGAACAACCACCTGGTTTACCTTATGCTTGAGCTCAACAAAACTCAGAAATGCTTGTCAAAACACCAATTCCGAACTCTAGATCTTATAATAAATTTTTTTGGTGCTGTTCATCTAGATAAAAAGTGTTCATCTAGATAAAATGGGTCATGTTTATAGTGATAATAGTTCAGAGACATTTGGGCCATTTAAGTTCCTCTTTAAAATTAATGGTGTTAGAGAGTCAAAAGAGAAAATCCAATAATTTTATAAATTTTATAAAGACATTCATATTAGTCTGGATCAGCCGCAAAAGTACATTGTGGTACCTTTGAGACTAATAAAGAGAAAAGAGGTTGGGACATCAGCTTTTGTGGACTACTTGAAGTATAACTTCCTTGCTCTCAGTCAGTTCCAAAGCCAAAGGTGCTACTGTGTCCCTTTCATACCCAGAGTGCCATACAAATAGCACAGTAAGTTCCACCGACATATAATTTTAAAGTACCTATTTCAAGTTATGTATGTGCCTCTATTTTTCATTACTCTGAGGAAGTTTGTGAAAGTTTCTACATATAGGCTGTGTTTTTTGGACAGGGAATAACTTAAAAGATGGAACTTTATCCTTAATTCTGAACCTGATGAAAAGCCCGAAGTCACATCTTTGGATTTTGCATTAGGTTTACAGTGTCATTTGAGTATAGTTGTGGTAATGTAATGTTAATAGTAGGTGACTTGTGACTTTCATGTGGTTGTACTGCTGACAGCATTGGGCTAATCTTAATTCTCTGTGTCCTCATGGAACGCTCACTTTTTAACACCCACACACAAAAAATGGTTTCCAAGAAATGCTCTCTGAAGCTTGAGCAAAATAAACAATTACATTCCCCCTGAGAATTACTGCCCAAAGCATTTCCTTGTCTGTGCCGCTTTTAAAAAGTTTGGTAATATATTATTAAAATGTCTCAGCTTCTTAACTCAAAAGAATTGTAAATCCCATTCGTTTATTCAATTTTAATATAAGTTTTTATATAAATTTATTCAACATTTAATATACTTTTTATTTTTGTTAACAAGATAATCTAAAGTTAACTTGAGTTTTACTCTTAAATCAGTTTAGTTTAATGTGTATCTCCCTGGTAAAGCTTCTCACATTTTCTGATCCTTAAAGAGGAAACTTATTACAACATGATGAAATGCCCTCTTAGTGTTTTGTTCTGCTGGAGAGAGAGAAAAACACTGCCCTTTTACTTTTGTTTTGGGCAAGGTGTAGTGTCTTTGTTCCAAACCTTCCTATATAGTTTCCAAACTCCATATAGATCATTACTTGATAGACCTTTTTGGAAGATTTGGATGTGTTTTTACACTGTAGTCCTCATCCAAAAGTCATATAACATCTCTCCTTGATCATCTTTTATCTAACTGTGGCCTAATCTTTGTGCATGTGCACAATCAGTGTGACAAGATGAGTGATGTCGCTATTTTAGGCCCATAAAGAAGCTATAAGATTCCCTGCTTTGATATATTCCAATATGAATGAGGCCTCAAGAAATATTTTCTAAATATTTTGTTAGGCGGGATAATTTTCCATAACAAGTGCCTTGAAAATAGCAAGCATCACCTTTGAATTTTCTTTTTAGTGCTTTGTTGGTTGAAATTATCATGCTGAAAACAGGGCCACTCATGGTCCCAAGTAGAGGAAGAACCTCACCCTTAAGGTATCTTCCTGGCTTAGATTGTAGGTTTAACCATCACATGGATTTTACACCCAACTGTGATTCTTAGTGTTGTCTGATCCTCTGTGTTATTGCTCAGAACAAGATTATAATATTTATTTATGGGGATACGGGATATTTTTAAGAATCTCATTCAGAACTTGTCAGATTCAGATATCCTCCATTTCATTCATAAGGCACTTATATCAGTGGTAAATGAAGATCTTATCCACATAAGCACAATTGCTTGCTCTTGAAGGTTTTCAGATTTTCAGCCCAGGAACCCTTTGGAAACCTATTTTTGAATGTCAAGATACATATACTGAGCAGCATTTAATGCACTGATTCAAGCAATAGCTAGAAGAGAAAGTTACTGTAAATGCCAACGTACTTTAGTATATGCTGTTCTTTGGATTCCTAGTTATAATATTACAACTAAAGCTAAAATATACATTTTATTTTTTTAAAAATTAACAGTGAGGAATTTTACATATATTTCAGTTGTCATTCATAGGTGATCAATTGACTTATGAATCTTTACAATGCATCCCAAGAAGTATACAAAAATGTTTCAAAGCACTGGTTTTCAAAATCATTTAAGTGAAGTGGAAAATGAGGATCCTATATTTCCCATGTTTTTTCACATAACAAATGTGCTTTGTTCTGTTCAGTAAATTATTGGGGAATTTTATAGTGGAAAATTCTCCCATAAATTTTTACATTCAGCAGTTTTATGCTGTTCCGGTCTCACTATATTTCTTTTCTCTCTGTAGAATTTCCTGCTTGCTAGTGTATAATATGTTAATTTAAACTATTTCGTTTTCACAGTTGAGTGTGCTAACTCAGATTCTTGTGTCAAGCTCAAATATATGCAAAATATATACTTCTTACTGTAGTAGGCATTTTAGCATGCTGTTTTCTTTTTAGATCATAGCTGAACTTAAGACAACCATTTCCTCTCTGACAGAGGAAAGCAACCAGCAGCAGCTTACTGCAGAAAGACGTCTGCAGGATGTTTTACAAAAGTTTGAAGATGAGAAGCAGCAGCTGATTAGAGATAATGACAGAGCAATCAAGGTAATCTGGGGCTTTGAGACAATGATGCTACCAGCTGTTTCAGTGTAATTAAAAGTTTTGAAAGTATTGGCTGTGACCACGTGAATTCGTGTAGCAGTCATGTTCTTATAGTACTCAGCAGTTCTCCTTCTCAAGATGGTGAGTGTAAAATATTTTTTTATTGCTGGCATATTTTTGGTCCCATAATGCACACTGAGAGGCAGTCAACCTGGTTATGATTGGGTAAACTGACACTTTGATAATGCTAGCGGAACTGAAAAACACCTGCCAACAGCTATTATGTTGGATTCAGCAAAGTATATACACATCTGCCTTGAACACTTGCCTGAACTTGTGGTTCACTTCCAAGCTGATATATTAAACACATAAAGAGATCGGCACTTTAGAAATCACTGTCCATCCAGTTTTAGGAAAAGGTGGTCCTCTCCTATCAGATATCACAGGCATTAGTAGAATTATTCACAATATTTCCCCACAATTATTGAGGGTTTTTTTTAAGCATAGTTACTTTTTTGCTATAATGATAACACTATGTAACACATTTTTTGTTCCTGAGTTATAAATGTCATTTCCTAATTGGTTCTATCACAAAACATGGGGAAAGTATATTAAACTGAAAAAACTTTGTTTTTGCAGTCTGCACAAAAGTTAAAAATGGCATATTTTCATTACAAAGTGCCTAGACTAAAGGAAATAATGGTATTACTCTCATCCACAAGTTTCTGGAATATAACAACTACTTTCAAAGTAAGTACCACACAATTAAACAAGAGAAAACACTTTCAAACCAGGAACAGTTTTTTTTTCCAATTTTTGTTACATAGTGTAATATATAAACCAAAAATGGAGTTCACCATTAGTTTCAAATTTCATTGTGTGGGAAAACCAGTTTTGCACCTTCTGAGACTGCTAATAGTTTAAAAAGTGCATGACTAGAATTGCATGAGTTGAAAAAAATGCAACCACGGTTTAAATAATGGAGAAAGTGTGCAGTTGAAAAACATGGTGGCCAAATTCCTGTTGGCTCCCATCAATGTAGTGATGCTGCTAGAAAAGATAGAGGTAGTGGTGACAAGATGGGAAAGACTATTGGGGCAGATAAAAGATGACAAAAGACCAGAGGAAGATAACATTAGTGGTGGCAACAGAGGGAGAAAGTGGCAATTCTGAAAGCTTGGCATCCAGATTTTTTAATATTGTTTTTATATTTTATATTGTGTATTTGATTGATTGATATGTGTTTTAATTGTTTATATATTTAGTTTGTTTATATTTTGATGAGATGTGTTTTATTATTTACCCGCGCAGCATTGAATTTTTGCCAGATTTGTAAACCAAATGAAGAAATGAAGATAATAATAATAATAATAATAATAATAATAATAATAATAATAATTCTTAGACCCAAGACTTACTGAGAGAGGTGAATGAGACAACTCTCAGTCTTTGTGGCAGAGGCTAAATTTCCTAGAATGCTTTGGCTCTGTGGATCTTACTTCCTAAATCAAGGCACTGAAGAACTGGGAGCTCAGAGGAGCCTTCTGCTTTTTTCCATGCCTCTTCCATTTCATTTGGATACTTTTTCACAGCCAATGGTGATGTCAGATTTACGCACCCATGATGTAAACAATGGTAGATTTTGAGGAATTTCTTGACTCTCCTTTTGGTCATGTTCTAAGATGGTAGGAAGATTTCCTTGGACATTTCTCCTAACTAGTATCTGATCGAGATCCAGTCCAAATCCTTAGTGTAACTCAAGATGTGCTGATATTATGGTAGAATTCTTTTGGCTCTAAATAGGCAAGCAGGCAATAGAAAGACATGATGAGTCAAAATTGTACTAGTATATGTTATAACAGTCTTCTATGTTGACATTACAAATTTCAGGAAATGTGTTATGTTTTTAAAACGGACTTCTCAATTGCTTTGCTGAACATGAGATATATCTGAATTGTCAGCAATTCTGCATTGAACTGGATTATATGGCAGTGTAGATTTATATAATCCAGTTCAATGCAGTTACTCTGCATTCTGAAATTGCATTATATGGCAGTGTAGACCCAGCCTGTGAGAAAGATGTTGGTCGCACAAACATTCATAAAATAGGTCTACTTCACCAGATACATCAGATGTAAAGAAAATGTTCATTACTTCTATTATTATTGGCATTCTTTTATTTTCTGAAACTAGTATGAAGGGGGAAATGATGTTTCTGTATGTTAAAAGTGAAACTGGGGTTTTTCAGTGGCCTTTAGAGAATTTGGCTTCGAGGAGGAGCAGCATATTTTCTTGTTCTTGATACTTCAGCTGGTGTGAACTAGTTTCTTAAAGCATTTACCCCCCAGGCAAATAAAATGAATGAAAGGTTAATCTCTGAGGAGCTGCCCTTGCAAACCTCACATCTGAGTTCCAAGGGAGGAGAAGCATCAGCTTTTATGTCTACACAAGACTAGTTTCTGTCAGGCAAAATGGTGTGGGATATATGTGTCCCTCTTCCCAGCCCCAGTTACCCAAAGGAAAAGTACTGTTTTTAAAAATACCTTTATGTAATATAGGGTGAAGAGGCAGCTCTTCATACACCAAATATTGTGGCTTTTAAAAAGTTTCTAAATCTGCATCTATTTCACTCTTTTGTTGTAACTTCTCTTTTGTGGGAAACATTTGTTGTGTCGTATGCTAAATAGGTTTTTTTTAATGTTAATTTAATTTAATTTAGGGGCTGATGCCTCTCGGGCTGAATCTACACTGCCCTAAATCCCAGGATCTGATCCCAAATTATCTGCTTATCCCACAGTATCTGGCAGTGTAGACTCATATAATCCAGTTTGAAGCAAATAATTTGGGTTCAGATCCTGGGATATAGGGCAGTGTAGATCCAGCTTCAGTGGTAAGAGATGCAACATTTCATCCTGAACTGTGTTCTATCTCTTATCATTAACTAGCTGTCCCCTGTCACACGTTGAATGTGTATATATTTATGTGTATGTGTCTATACGTGTGTTTGTGTAATATATATGTGGTTTCAAGCATGCATTGTAATGTATTTTTTGTTTTTTGGCTTTTTAAGTCTCTTATGCTGTGTTTTTCAGTGTTTTTATGAGTGTTGGTCACTCATTGGCATGATAGGTGTATTGTGTCCAAATTTGGTGTCAATTCATCCAGTGGTTTTTGAGTTAATGTTAATCCCACAAACAAACATTACATTTTTATTTATATAGAAGATGACTAGTTACTACTGGAATACTGGGGCCCCATCTCGTACATTGCCATATAATACAATTTGAACTGCATTATGATGGTCAGTACAGACTCATATAATGCAGATTGAACTGGATTATATGATTATATGAGTCCATATTGCCAGTTAGGTGCTGGGAGTTTTCCGGGTTGTATGGCCATGTTCCAGAAGCATTCTCTCCTGACATTTCACCCATATCTATGGCAGGCATCCTCAGAGGTTGTGAGGTTTGTTGGAAACAAGGCAAGTGAGGTTTATACTTCGTATATCTATGGGATGTCCAGGATGGGAGAAAGAACTGTCTGTTGGAGGCAAGTGTGAATGTTGCAGTTTGCCACCTTGATTAGCATTGAATAGCTTTGCAGCTTCAAAGCTTGGCTGCTTCTTGCCTGGGGGAATCTTTTGTTTGGAGGTGAGTTCCTCTGTGTTTGAGTGTTGTTCATTATTTCCTCTTATAATTTTAGTGTTTTTTTTAATACTGGTACCCAGATTTTGTTCATTTTCATGGTTTCTTCCTTTCTGTTGAAGTTGTCTATATGCTTGTGGATTTCAATGGCTTCTCTGTGTGGCACGACAAGGTGGTTGTTAGAGTGGTCTAATATTTCTGTGTTCTCAAATAATATGTTGTGTCCAGGTTGGTTCACCAAGTGGTCTGCTGTGGGTGACTTCTCAGGTTGAATTAGTTTGCAGTGCCTTTCATGTTCCTTAATTTGTGTTTGGGTGCTGCGTTTGGTGGTCCCTATGGAGACTTGTTCACAGCTGCATGATATACAGTAGGCTCCTGCAGAGGTAGGAGTAGGGAGAGAATTCTTCTAGATCGTGGCCATACAGCCTGAAAAACTCACAGCAATCCAGTGATTCTGGCCATGAAAGCCTTTGACAACACAACATTGCAGTTAATCTACATACAGAAACGGGACTATATGGCTCTTAACATGTATGGAAATAATTTTTAAAATAAATCTAGAAAAGCATGCCTGACTTCTCCAAAGACCCTTGCCGTATATCACAAATATTAATGTGTATCAGTGTGCAGTAAAAGCACATCTTTATATTTGAGAAAAGAAACAATCATAGAAAAATGGCAAGATATCTTTCAAGGGTTTGTATCATATACTTCAATGATGCATCACCTGGCAAAGAGCAAACAAGTAACGGTTTTGCTATAGTATTTTTTTAAAGGAACAAGATTACCTTATATACTCGTGTAGGAAGCTAAATAGTCTCTCTACTTGGTATCCTAGCAACATGAATGCAAGTGATGTTCCTTTCTTTTTTCTGGAATATTGTGCATTCTTTGTGTGCTACATTGTTCTACTCGTTTTTTTACATTCTGAAATTGAGTACTAAAATATGGTAAAATGCACAATATGTCATGGAATCAAATAATAAGAATAAGAATAAGAATAATAAAGTTGGAAGAGACCACATGTCAGTCGTTTGCAAAATGTTCAGTGTATATGAACACTTTGTTCAAGGTCAAGATGCAATCACAACATCTAAACTATCTTATGGCCTCATCACACTAGAGAATGAATCCACTTTAAATCCGGTTTCTGCCTCCTGCTGAATTCTGGGGTTTGTAGTTTAGTGAGGTTGTTAAAGGTTCTTCCACAAACTACAAACCCCAGAATTTTGCATGAGGCAGCAACCAGATTTAAAGTGGATTCATTCTCTTTTTTAAAAATCATTTTTATTTGAATATTTTCAAAATACAATAAAAAGGGGGGGACATTCATTCTGTAGTGTGATGAAGTAGTTA